TAAAGCACTTGTTACTGGTTTTGGCTTTAATGGTTCCTGTGAGTTGTATGCTAAATTTGACGCAAATCGGGGCAATTCACTATTAAACCGATTGCCATACATCTGAAAAAAATATAAATACATGATATTAAAAATACTGACCATCAAATAAAATGATTTCTATTCTACATAATTTATTTCTGCATATATACTTACAATATTTCTTGAATCTATATTCAGCGCTGTTAAAGTTTGTTCAAATGTTTGAGAATTTTTCCATTGAAATTTATTTATATCCGTTATATCAACATTTTTTAATTCATCCATAACACAAATGTCATCGTCCTTAATTACGTGATCCTGAACAGGTGCTTCTTCAGCAACAGCAGGAAATGCCATTTCAATTACAGATAAAATTTTATTGTACAGTGTATCAAAATCTTTATTTTTATATAAAGCCATATTTTCATTGAAAGTATCTAATATTGAGTGGTATCATCAATAGGAGTAACTTCTTTCACGCTCGCATTGTTAGAGTGATAATTGATAGGCACACTATCTGTTGCAAAACTATTGAAGTCTCCAAAATCATCATCAAAACTTTCATCTTTATGTTTTGCTTTACTAACAGGCTCATCATTTATTCCAGAATTAGAACCTGCTTCTGGTTCTGATTGATTTGTAGATTGAAAATCTTGAAATTCGAAATCGTCATCAAAACTTTCATCTTTGTGTTTTGCTTTACTGACAGGCTCATCATTTATTTCAGAATTAGGATCTGTTTCTGGATTTTGATTTGTTTGATTTGTGGATTGAAAATCTTGAAATACAAAATCGTCTTCATCAACATCTGATTTATTATCATATTCTGAAATTGGAATATTTGAAATGTGATAATTTTCTAAATTTATATTCTGGGCTTCATCTACATCATTTATGGTCTGATTCACAGATGTATCTACTGGTAAGTCATAATTTGTTTTCTGTTCAGGTGAACCAGAACAAAACTTTTCCCCGCCACTAAATTCACTAAACGAATCATCATCCTTTTTAGTTATATCTGTTGATTGAACAACTAATGACTTAGGTTCCGCACATACAAAATCATCAAAATCATCAAACCCATCAGAGTTATTTTGTATACAATCTGCATTTTGATAATCTTCTTGTGCATCATTCAAAGCAGTACTATATACATCTGGCTCTGTACAGCTTTTAACTTCAGGAATCATAAATGCATTATCAGTAATTTCTTCAAATTTTTCACTATCATCATCAGAATTAGTAGTTTCTGAAGAAGGATTATTTATAGTTAACCGGTCAAATTTTATATCATTTTCGTAAGATTCTTCATTTTTCAGACACTGTAAGTTATCATGCACAATTTCTTGTGGGGTATCCAAATGTTCAAAATCCTTATCATTATCACAAACGTCATTAAAAGTAGTATTTGTACAGTTGTTCAATAAATTATTTGATAAATTTTTGTCTTCTAAACTTTTTAAAACAATATTTTCATTTGGTATTTCATCATAATCTATTTTATTATTTGTTTTATCCAATTGTACTGCCTCTGTTATTATTTCCGATGGGACATTGAAATCACAAGGAGAATTAAAATTGTTGATTACATTTTCTTCGATGTTTGGTAATTTTAGAGTATGAGAGTTGTGAAAATTTATCGTACAATCAAGATCTTCACCGTTGTATGTTTGTTCAGGTACAGCTGTAATAAAAAAAAAAGTTTATAAAACTTTTATTTAATAAAAATAATATGAAGATTCAAATAGCAATTATTTTCAGTTGTGGTTCAATTTGTATTTTTAATAAACGTTTTATAATTTGCAATAACTTGCAATAAAAAGTATTGCAGCAATGGTATTTGACAAATGCATAAAAAACCAAGGTCGATATTCTTTAGAAATGGATGGACAAAAAGCATTTAATTACTTTTCAAAAACAATAATTTTAAGTTCAGTAGTTAAATGTCAATATAAAACAAGTACTAACCATCATAATCAAAGCTTGGTATAATTTCATCAATAAAATCTTCTGGTTCATCTGAGATATCAAGTGGGGGCGGACTTGAAGATAGTAAAGGTGGAATATTAGCCATCATTCTGTAAAAAAAGTAGTAATGCATATCAAACGAGTATCACATATTAACAAAAGAATAATAAAATATTTACTTCACAAATTTTAACAATATTTATCAGATGACATTTGATATTCGGTTACAAAATTGTATCAACAACCATTATTATATTTGTAAGAAGTCGATTGAGTTACTTACGCTTGTAAAGCGTGTTGTTAGAGTTGATAAAAAAAAATTAGTCAAGGCCTTTCATAAAATAATTGCCGTGCGTAAACTCATTTCAACTATAGCTGCATGATCACGATTTTGACATACATATGGAAAACAAACGCATTACACCTTGCCTTGCCACCTGCCACAGGTACGATCTGTCAACTAGTGCAAACTGTCAAAGTCATGTCCCTTGGCAGCGCTGCCAACATAGACAGGAAAATGGAGAGAAGACATGATGCGCGCGCAATTCGATTCAAATGTATCTGAAATGAAATAATTCAATAATCCTCAACTAGTTGTACGTAGCATTTTGCCTTAAGGTAAATTGTCATGCCGATACATATACATAATCAACTTAGTCAATGAAAATTGAAATGCAGCTATTTATATAAAAGTGAATAAAATTTTCACTTTTACTATCAACTAATCAATGCAATTTCCGAATGACATCTTTCAAACATACTTATTCGCATGAATTAAAATAATCTATTTGACACCATCGGATTCTAAAAATGAAATTTCTTTATATTTTGACTTCAACTCATTCCAACATAGATTTTGATTAGAATCGCTTAATCGTCCATACTTTGGTGATTTTTTCCTATTCAACCATTTTCCTATTAATTCATTTATCGTATGGGTATAATATTTTAGTATGTTGTTTCAAACTACGAAATTTATCACATCTTACAAGGTTTTTTCAGAATCATCAAAGAAAATTTTCAAAATTGAATTGCAAAAAACGTCGACTCGGCAGATCTTCACTAATCACTACGATTCTCAAAAAATTTTTGAAATAGGTACAAGATTGTTTACTTATACTTGGGTGAAAAATTGCACTTTTCTGCTAATTATAAAGAAACGGTTTGGCCGATTGACGCGCAAAATTGATCAACATTAATCCTTATCCAGTTACATCGAATGATCTATAATTTTCTAAAATGGGTCCAGCCGTTTTTTGAGAAAATGTCGACAAAAAAACAAAAATCGGACATACACAAACACATACACTGTTTCGAAATTTGGTCTTATTCGATTCAGTATTGAATTTCCTTCGGCGAGTTAAGAATTTTAATCCTTCATTTTAGCACATAAAGCATATATAACGGTTTTTATATTTAAATTGTTTTTGGTTCAACAAATATATCTTTTGTTCGATCAAAATAACCAAAATATTACTATGCTAAATTGTGGCTAGTGCTGAAATTAAACCACCCCTCTTTTTTAACTTTCCGTAAATAGTTATAGTAATGGGCCGAAAATCGAAAGTGATAATTTTTGCATTTCTCCACGTTTTGAAGGTTTCTGAACATTTTGGCATACCTCATAATCAGAAAAAATGGATGTGAGTGTGTGTGTGTTTTGTGTGTTCACATTTTTTCGTCCACGTTTTCCGGCCCACAGATCAACCGATTTGAATGGTTCAAAAAACATTCGACTTCTATTGATAGGGAGATGTGCTGTTTAGTTTTTGGCAAAGGCAGGTCCAACCGTTTTGGAGATACGGAGCAAAGAGTGCAGAAAATAGTAATCGAGTTTTTGGAAAAGGTAGGCCATTCAGCCATTTCGAAGATACAGAGTTAAATGTACAGAAAATGGAAGTTTTTGAGAGAAATAAGCATCCGATTTGATTGATTCAAAAAACTTTCTGCTCGTGTTGACGAAACAACTTTTTTATATTTTTTGTTGTATATCGAAAATAATTCAGATTTCAACTTTAATTCTGGTTAAAGTTCTAAAGCTCACTTATATACCTTAAGTGAATAAATTTAACTTTGTTAAATAATTGCAACTCGAACATTTCGTAACGGTACGAAATGTTCCAGCAATTTGCCTTACGGCACGATGTCATACACCAATAGTTTAAATCTTTTGAAACTAAAAACAAAGACCAACTACTTCATCAATGCATAAAATATTTCAAATATCGAAATAAACTATAATTCGCCACCTCAAAAAATCGTCTTCTCTGGTTAGATGTTTTGCCCATATGAATATAATAAAATGTCTTATGTCTAAGAATCTCGTGACACACACAATTTGATTAAAACCGATCAAATACATGTGCTTTTAACTTGAGGCATATAAAAATATTTTTATTAAACTGATATTATAAATGATAATGATCCTTATGATGTTTATAATAAAATATAATGTACTAAAAATAACAAATATATTAATTATTTAAAATATACATTTATTTCATTTATGCTTTTCTACTACGTGAATATAAAAAGCTGGATTCTGAATGGCATCTATTGGTTTAAAGTCTCCATAGATGGTATATGTTGCACCATTTCCGAAGATCTCTTTCAGCATTTGCTTGAAAACCGATAACCGATGAGGGTAGTAAGATAACCTGAATTCACTAGAATAAAAAAAACCTTTTTCTTAAATTTGTAACAAAATAACCTGAAAAGCCCTTCCCCATATTGGAGTACGTAATATTAACAAAGAATTCAATTCAATATCGACTTTAAGTACCAAAATTCCAGCGTAGAATAAAAGGCCAATAAAACAGTATATATAAATACATATCTCACCTTATATCTTTTTTATTGCCTGATTTTCCATCTGAAGTATCGATCATATAATCTAATGAAACCAAAGCAGGTTCTCCGCCGACAAGTAAAACTGATGTTTTTATGTCTGCTGTGTGAGTACTCTGTAAATAAAATTCACATATGCGGATAATAAATTTTTTATTTTATTCTATTCGAAATAACGGATTTTGTTTCTTATTACATCTTAGACAATACAGTAAAAGTATATATTTTTTCGCCTGAGTAGATAAAATACGTTTGCGTATAAATATAAATTTTTAGTATATAATTTACATTTTGAACCAATCATATAATTAAGTTTCTTTAATATAATTGCAATTTTTATATCTCATTTTATATGTCCAGTCTAAAATAACATTTTCACATGCAAAACAACCAATATTATTAGCTTTAAAGTCACATAATTCATTAATAAAAAAAAATTGTTTGAGTCAAATCTTGTGATAAATTGAATACCATTATTACCATTGTTCGTTTGAAATATTTTAAGAACAAAAAAATATTTGATGATTGTTGGGATTGTATCAAGTTACAGCCATTGATGCTTAGTATAGTAGCTTTTTTTACAAATTTACCAAAAATTTATTTATATGTCTTCTACTACACTTACGTTGTAATATAAGCACTTCGATGGTGTACTTCCACTGCTGATGATGTGATCGTAGTTCCTGTGGTCAATCAGGAGCAAACCACCAGGTTTGACGCATTTTTCGAAGTTGCGCAAAGCTTGCTTTTGCTCACGTTGGTCCCCATATGAGTCCATCATGTGAGCGAAGGAGTTACCCAAACAAATTACGGCATCAAAACCACCATTTTTCAACATTGGTGCAATGTCATCGAATAGTGTCAACCAATTTGCTTCTTCAATAACTAAATGAATAATTATAAAAATTATATGGTATTTGTAAATATAAAATAACCTTGACCAATAATGAAAATACAATTGGTTCAGATTCTATTATGTATAAAGCCAAGCACATCTAAATAGATGGGCTAACATTGCTAATAATCACTCCATTAAGTGACCTTCTAATCAATGCCATCGAGTGACCAGGTCTGTTGGTCCTGGTCTTTCACTTGGTATACCAAAATAGTACTTACTTAGTACATCAAAATAGTAATTCAAAGACTCACCCCAGTTGTCAAAGGCGCGTTCTTTCCTGCGTTCCCATCTTGATTTTAGCGCATATTTTAACATTTTGTCAGAAGCGTCTACAGAGGTGACATCAAAACCTTCTTCCAAAAGCATCACGGAATCTATCCTATTAAATACAAAAATAGTGAGTATTAACTAATTGTGCGGCATTTTATATTATTGTCTTAAATGAGATCAAATATTTGATTATATTGGTATTGTTTTATTTGTAAAAGTTAGTATAATATCTGATCAGTAAACATAAAATACTGACCCCGTTCCACATGCTACATCAAGTATTTTTTTACAGCCACGTTGTCTAAGTAGACCAACTAAAAAGTTCCTGTAGTGATCAGTTCTGGAGCGTTTGTCACCGATGAAAATTTCCCAAACCTAAATTCAACAAAAAAGTTATTCCTGTGTTATATTTTGATATTTTATTAGCTAACTAAATTACTGAAAGATCATGTTTTGAATGTTAAAATTTGGAAATCTAAATTGATTAAGCTACGAAGTCATTATCAATAACTGGGTGACAATTTAAGACCTCAGTCACAAAGATATTCTTCTTAAATACAGTTTTAAAAACGTCTAGTGAATTATAAATCAGTGGCCAGCTAACATAAGAGAATATTGTTTCTACAGAACGAGGTAACATAAAAGACGTCCAACATATTTATGCCACATAAAATTTTGTTCATAAAATTTTTCCTGGAAAATTGATCCGAAGTAAAGGTGACATAAATCGCGGAATCCTAGTCCTATCTCTATAAAGTTTTCCTGTGGGATTATCTCGAATCAACAGTTTACAACAGTGGACAAAAAATAAGACAATATATCTATCAAGAGTAGCAATCACATAGTATTTGCCAATCCGCCATAATAAAATTTAATGCTTGAATAAAGCAGCATTGTAACAACTACAGTATAAAAAAGTATATAGAGTTATAGTATGATTTTGAAGTACAAAATCTTATAAATGAAAATAATGTTGTAAAATCGAATATATTTATAATTTACGGCATTTGTTATTATAATCAACATAATGAGAAAAATCATTATCAAACTGTAAGCAATCGACGTGCCTTTGAATAGTCTTCCAAGTTATCAACATAAAAAAGGCTTGATCAGTTTTACTAGAAAACGAATTTATTAAAATTATTATATTATGAGCAGCAACCTTACCAATCTTTACTGGAAATGGAAATTAGCTAAATTAGCAAGTTCAGCTGCTTTTATTATATTACTATTATTATATTTATTTTATGACAGGGCCACAATGATTATCTC